CTTATCATTTTTTATTTTACAAGATAGAGCACTCAAGACTGTCAAAAGCTGATGGCTTTATCATTATCAATTCTGTGGAAGTAAAGTAAATTTAACCCAGTGTTCACCGTACTGGACATTCCTACACCTGTGCTCAGAGATACTGGGCTAAAAGCTCAGAGCAAAGGCATGCAGACGTTGGGATATTTAACCTCTTGGAGTTGTCTGCTGCTGCCCAAAGTAGAGAGCCTGTCCTTTGTTCCAGTTAGGAATAAAGGCCATTGACAAAACCAGATTGTTTCTTTGACGCAGTATTTACTTTCTGTTTGTTAAGGAAAAATATCAAAACATAACAATCCACACAAAATCCCATTTTTTGGCAACACTTTTTGCAACAAGTCGGAGAGGTCATTTGTTTGTAGGATGTGGAAGAGAGCACCTTTCAAAATTAAACCCTTGAAAATATTCCTTGGAATACTGGTACTGGGCTGCTTAGGCTCTCCTGGCACGTTCTTCTCTTTTGCCTCATTTCTTTCTCTATCCAGCTCAGCCTCACCCACAGCACCCACCAAAGCCTTCCACCCAGAGGGTTGCCCAGTGGTCTTTGTTTTGCTTGGTGGTTTGGAGATTGCTATCATTTCTTAGAGAAGTCTGTTTCTTTTTAACTACCCTAAATCATGGTGTGGTGACACCCACCAGTTTCAGCCAACAAAAATGCCACCTGCCCCAAATCAACAGCAGCAAGTTTTGGTCCAAGACACCACTCCAAGTGACAGAAAAACTGGACTGCAAGACCTGCGTCCTACTCACCGACTGACTGAACCATCCTGGAAAAGGCACTTTGCCTGCGTGTGCCTCTGTCTCTCTGCAAACTCTTTGTACGGTGTGCTGAGGCGGGCAGGTTTTCTCACTACATGTATCCACAAAGTCACTGTTGGAAATTACATATAACAGTCCTTCAAACAAACCAACATTTGCCTTAGATCACCATCCTCGTTATTTCTACCACAGCGGGATCAAGACGACCCAACCAAATCTGCCGTTGTAAGTTCATCCCTGCAGGTTTCTTGTCACTTAATCGGAAATTAGAGTACTAAAACCTTTATGCAAACACCAGGTTGGCTGGGTAATCTTCTGCTCCAAGCTGCAAAAACCGTAGGGTGAAGAGAAGTACTGACATCACTGCAGAGCTCTTTACAGTGTTCAAGACACGATGAGCAGGTCTGGAAGCACAAGCTCAACTCTAGGATTGAGCCACTGCTTTTTCTGCACACGACCAGCAACCAAATAAAAGTTCTCAACAAAACATGTTTGCATGTACCTAAAGGTGATCAAAGTCCAAGTGGATGCACTCAGAGCATCAGTCAGGCAAAAACCAGAGCCAAAGACACCTTCCTCAGTCCATAAACAAGCAGGATCTGAAATTGGAAAATGGCTAATTCTATTTATTAACACTACCCCATGCCCCAGATGATCCACAACCTGACTCCAGTTCACCTCCTTTCCCTGCTTCCTTCCACTGCTTAGCTTGGCCTCTCCTGCCCCAAATGATTAATGCCTGAAATCCACACACATTTATGCCTTGCAGTGAGTTTATTTTCGTCTTGGCTGTAGCTAGCCCCACAAAGCCACTTCTGTCTGGGTTAAATTTAAATTAAGATGCGACATTGCTAATTAAGTCTGCTAGCTGGGATAGCAGAAGCAACCTAACCACACGAATTCAGAACTCTCCTTCCAGGCTCGTTTTCCACAGGGAAAGGCACAGGCACCCTGCTACAATGTGCAGAGCAGATGTCCTCTGAGGCACACAGACTTTAACAACAGTCGCCTAGATTACACTGGGCTGTAGGATAGACAGTAGTACTATGACTAGAATTAAGCTGGACAATATAAGCCAACCAATTTTTCTATTTTTCTAAAGCCAGCCTGGAAGTCACACCAGTGGAACACAGCTCAGGGGTCTCAGTCATTTTGAGAACTACTCTGTCACCAATAAAAAATATCTCCGCAGCAATCTTTGGTCATCAGAACATATTAATAGACCTTGATATTCTCATAACAGATGACCTCCTTTGAGTACTCAACTAACCACTGAAAAACATTACTCAGGCAAACCGAGCCAGCGTAGGCACCTGGCTAGCGGGTCTGCCCCCACAGCACAGCGCAGCCCACACGGAACCCGTGAATAAAGAACCTACGCGCGCGGCGTGGGTTGCAGTTCTGGTAGGAAAGTCGAGGCATTTAGTGCTTCACTGTTTATTTTCTGTCCGTGATAATCTGCAAGTAATTTAGGTGTCTCACCCCACCACACTGAGGTAAAGGAGGAACTATAACCTGGTTTAGCTCCGCTGGCAATGGGTGTAGATTTGAGTATTCAAAACAATCATTTACTACCCTTGTCTGTATTAAATGACTCCTTATCCAGACTTGCAAGTAAATAAGATTAAGAATTCAACTACAGAAGGGACAATTAAAAGTTATCAAGGTTCTGATCCTAGTGCCACAATTTCTTTTGGTTTTTCCTCCCCTCATTCCTCTGCAACAGATTTGAGTACTGGCAAAATACAACAACTTCGCACAGGCAGCAGAAACCGTGGGCTACTATTTTACCCTTGAAGCTTTCTTTCTCATTCTGGAATTGAAATCTGATTGTTAGATGGAAAACAGAAAACCCTCATGCTAACCACAACTCCAAAGCCTGCTAGTGTTGCTTTGAGACCATCTCCTAGAGTCAGCAGAACTGGCTCCTGACAGGCAGAAGACTTGGGTGATAACAGCAGCAGTTCCCACCTGACTCCACTTCTGTGTCTGCAAGCATAACACAGATACAGCCAGAGCACCCGCACGCCCTTCCCCAGTTCAGTGCTAGAAATCTTCCAGCGATGGTTGGTGCTGTGCCTGTGCTGACCCGTGGCAGAAGCCAGGGTGACAAAGAGCAGGATCAGGCAGCTTTGCCCAATGCTAAACACAGGCCAGAGTGGAAATTCCACACACAGAACAGAAACTTGCTAGTAAAACATTTTAACAAATCTAACAATATTTTAACAACGAAAAAAAACCCACTTCAGTTGCAGATGTTCAGAAGCCTTGTAAAGCAACAAGAACATTTACGAGTCAAGACTGAAGAAACCACACTTGGTTGTTTTGGTGTTTCTGTCTACACTGCCAGATAACTGCTCTTCAGCCCCAGGTGCCCCAACTGGTCCTGCAATGCCTGAGACCATAGCTCACTGTGTGCATCCCGTGCTCTCCTTCCATGCAAGCCTACTAATTTTTATAACACAAAAAACTCTGCTGTGGGGATAACTTGCTGTTTCAACAGGTTCAAATGCAGGCAGTAATTAGACAAAACTGCTCTGTATTGCAGTGACACAGAGAAAATGCACGTGGCCCCTGTACAAAGGGGACAAACCCAAGAGCGATCCCAGGCCTATGCCATGTGTCCACAGAGTGGGCTTCAAAACATTCAACACCCCCTTTTCTAAGCAGAAAACAACCCAAACACTAATACAGGTAGCTCAGGGCCAGGCTAAGGGCTTTGCAGCACAGATGCAGCCATACTGCTGAAGTCTGTGCTCAGTCTCCACAGGCTTTGGTGTTACTGTCATACGCCCGCGCTCAGGCCCTTAGAAAGACTATCCCAAAACAGGAATAAAGACACACAGAAGCACAAAGCAGAAGCAAAGCGCAAGAAGTTGTTTTAATTTGAAAAGGAAATTTAAGAAAACTTTAATGAAATAGGAACATCATTTCAAAGAAAATTTAATGCAAAAGCCGCAGCACTTTTATCTGATGTACAGTAAGCTGCAAAAGAATTATTCATAATGCCCAATGACACAGCTACTTCTATTGCTAACACGACAAAGTAAGATAAGCCGTTTGCTTTGACAGCTTCACAGTCAGCCTTTGGCAGTCAAACTTCTGATGTCTGGAGTTCACAGTGAAGGATTTTTAGATCCTATTTTCTTTCCAGGATGTTATCACATGAAAAGCAATAACCAAAGTTGAAAAGTTCAGGCCTGTCAATTTTCCACTTTTGAAACCGTTTTAGACAATTAGCTCGAATAGCATGTCTACCTGCCAACGGGAGTGCACGCCGCTTTCCACAAACTGCAAGACAAGAAAAGCTGAAGAAAGTGCAACTAGCCCCTAATCAAGGCATCACACAGACGTGTGCTCACTGTTTCTCACCTACTGCAGACCAAAAAGACACCCTGATCTCACTGCAAACTCAAGTGAAGCAACCCTGAACATTTAACCCACCATCTGAAAGTAGAAAGAATCCAGTTAGGTGAATCATGGTGATGTCGTCTCTTTAGTAATAAAGATAATAACGTGTGAAGTTTCACCAGAAAAGGCAGTGAGGCTTACAGGGTGTAGAAAGATGTTATTTATCACCATATTCTTGCCTACAACCGCACCGCAGAAGTATAGCTATTAACTGTAAATCTAGCACAGGAACAGAGGACTCATCAACAACCTGCTGGCAGTAAGACAAAACGCTGCAGTCTGTGGTGATTGAGCCAACCGGCTCGATTCCGATCACCACCTGGATGGCTTCTCGGAAAGAAAACTCCAGATTTGGCAGAGATCACATTGGGGAATGAATGCTTCCCACCGATTTGCAAGAAACCAATACTTTACTACAGCTCAGTATTCTAGAGCAAGGCGCAGACTCTGCTTACCCAAATATTAACCTGCATGGCTAAGCAGGAAATACAAAAGGCAGTTTCTAGGAAGTAAGTGAAGAATATGTTGTGACACACTGTTGGCACAACAAACCGCAACAATTTGCCACAGCAGGAGCTGGACACTTCAGTTGAAGTGGTATCTAGAGACAACTTCTCCCCGTACTGCATCAGTTAAGACAGTGAAATAGATTATAGGCAAGCTGTAAACAACTCACAGTCAGCAAAACTGAAAAACTTTCTTCAGGGGCCAACTGCACTACTTCCCCAACCTTAACGTCTGCTGTTACGGTCCGTTTCAGTGTTTGCAAGATGAACTGAACCAAACGTTACCTTCCACCCAGTCTTCCGCCTGCTGCGCTCTCCTCTGGGCCATCATCCGGTTTCCCATGTTCCTCCGGCGCCTTGGCATCCCATCTCCCCGCTCTTCAGGCTGGGGCTGAGGCCTGGCCACTGCTGCTGCCGCCACATTTTGCTGGTGTTCCTCATCAGCTGCAAAAAGGAAATATAACTGGTGAGAGATTTGCCATCTCTGCTTGCTACAGTTGTCCTTTTGCCAGTCAATTTTTGCAACCCGAAGCGCAGTATCAGGGCTGTCTTCCAAAGGAGAGACTGTCTCCCCAACTCTTGTGTGGGTTTTCTCCTGCATGGCAGGAGATACGTGCAAGTTGCTTTCCCATGATTAAGAGGCATCATGCACTGGAACCTTCTTATTTGTGCACAGCGCTATGTGCAATGGAAATTTTACCCTAACAGCAGTCTCTTTCACAACAGCATATAGATCATTGTAAAGACAAAGCTATAGATAGTGCTGCTGATATTTGATCTGAGAGAGCCCACACAAAAAAATCCAAGAAAAAATCACCACACCACAAAACAAAGACACTCTTCCTCCCCCCAAGTGCTCAAAAAAATATTCTGTTTAATCTAAACTGACAATCTGTTTTCCCTTCTGCCAGAAAACAATTCCCTGCATCTGGCAGAACTAGCAGTCTAATCCAAAAGGCAAGGACCCAGGAGTACTTTTTTCCCCCCATTCTAAAGCATTCCGATTGTTAATTCTTTTTTTACTTGTATTGTGTACTTGTGTAATTTAGAAGTCGATTCATCTGAATTCAAACTTCAGAGCACGCATGTTTACAATGGAATATGGAATGGAATATATAAGTCATGTATTATATATCATGTTACAATGGAATATGTAAGTCGCTACACCTGAAACAAACCCTGAATAGCAAATAAGGACTGCAAATTACAGCCGTAATACACACAGGGTAACTTCATTCCACCACGCTGATTTAAACTGCGGGTTTCCAAACAAACAGATGTAGGGCAAGACAAAACAGCAAAGGTCACTGCCACCCTCTCTGCATATGCTGCAATTACTAATTAAGATCTGACAAATGAGCAATATCATAGAATCATTGACTGCTTTGGGTTGGAGGGACCTTTAGAGGTCACCTAGCCCCACCGCCCTGCAGGGAGCAGGGACATCTTCAACAGAGGAGCAGCTGGGAGACAGCATGGGAGGAAACAACTGACCGGTGGGCTCATTTCAGAAGTTCTCCATAGAAAACCTTCCCCTGGGGTTTTTCTTTTGAGACCTCCATGATCTTGTTGCTATCATCTATGGCAGTCATGCCAAAATAATCAGAAAATGGCAGAATATCATCATCCTTGATACCTGCTTTGCATACCCTGTTGATAAGCGTAACTGATATTTGTGTATGTTGCTACTTGCTCCATCCTGCAAAGTATTAACTACTACGCCTTAATTCAGGCACATATCCAAACGGTCTCATGAAAAGCTGCAGAACTACTTATCTGCTTCAACTCAGGACACATTTTTTTGTGCTTTGCCAGATTATATTGTGTCCCAGCAGAAGCACAAAATGCTTTCCATGCTCCGCCAAATCTCCAGCATCCTCTGATCCAAACAATGCCTTCCTAAAAAAAACTCCTATTAGCATATCTATGATCAGAAAATAAGCTTCATTCTGACTACATCTACATGACGATCAAAGGTGTGCTTGCAGCTCATCTCAGTATATCTCAACTAGCTTCAAAGCAGCTACTTTGGTACTGATAACAACGCTGCTGCAGCAGCAGCGCTGAGCTCAGAGCAAGCAGGCTGCAGAGTAATCTGGGGAAGTCTTTGGCCAGAAAAGCCATCAGCAGTGCAGGACTGCTGCACCAAGGATGTCAGCAGGCCCCCAAACTCCAGCACTAACATGCACCGTGACATTTTGAATTGAGTCACTGCGCCTATCACACCGCTGTCACCCTCTTTCTCTCATCCACCCCTTTTATCTGTGGACCAAAACAGGTCTATAATAATTTACAGCATGCAGGCTCCAGAGATCCGATCTTTTTGCTTCAAGACTTGCCCAGTCTTATTTATAGCACGATAATGCTTATTTTGAATGCTACAGAACAGTGAGGAAAGCATTATCCTGCAACAGCAGAGCAGCAGATCACTTACTGGGAAATCACTAAATGCCAGCAACACTTAGTCTGCAAAAAGACTTTTTATACAAATGCAGTATTTCTCTTAAGTTCTTGAGATGCACTGCAACTTAAACCTTCGCAGCCTTTCACCTGAAAGCTTCAGTGTGTCTATCTCAGCAACCTCCAAAGGTGGTCCCGCACAGCGTATCAGCTATGCAGTCCTAGCACTCGTTCATTCTGGGGCTTGTTTTTGGCTCCCGTTGTCCTGTGAAACAGACACTGTTTTGCATTTTGTGAAAGAGGAATCTATTTATAAGCCACGTATTCATTTCAAACCGAGGTGCTTAACCCTCACAAACACACAAACCAAGCCATTCTGTTTTGTCAATTTAATTCTGTACAGGAGATGCCGTAATTCCTCAAAACTGACCAGCATTAACACCGCTCAGAAAGCAGTAAAAACCCCGCCAGACCTGACCCATATCACGGTCAGACACACAAGGCAGTTGTTGCCACAGCCTCCCTGGGCAGCCTGGGCCAGGGCTCCATCACCCTCAGAGGGAAGAAGTTCTTCCTCATCTTCAGCTGGAACTTCCTCTGCTTCAGTTTGTGCCCATTGCCCCTTGTCCTGTCGCTGGGCACCACTGCAAAGAGTTTGGCCCTGTCCTCCTGACCCCCACCCTGCAGATATTTATAAGCATTTCGAAGGTCCCCTCTCAGCCTTCTCTTCTTCAGGCTGAAGAAGCCCAGCTCCATCAGCCTTTCCTGGTAGGAGAGATGCTCCAATCCCCTCACCATCTTCATAGCCCTTTGGTCAGATCTCCAAAGCATTCAGACAAACAACAGAAGACACCTAGACATTATGGATTATCATTTAGTAGGAAAAGATATGCTTTAATACAGCTTCCTCCCTCCCCCAGCTTCTGTTTGCAAGGCTGGATGGTCATTTGAACAACGTGAATGTTAGCCCTGCACTTCTTCCCATCCTTCATGAGGGGGAAGAGAAAAGAATCATTTACTCCCCCTGCAACACACTTCTACCTGGCTGGTTCCTCAGGGGCCAATGATTTGCCTACGTGGCTCACGACACATCGTTTGTTCCAGTACCTACAAAGTTAGATCTGCTCTCTTCTCCCCCTGAACTGGAAGTATCAGAGATTGACTAGAGCAGCACACGGAGGGGTGTGACTGGTGGCTTCAAAGAACACACAGAAAACACTCAAAAAACTTCTTGCTCTTATTCTTAGAACTGGACTGATTGTCAGATTTGAGGTCAAGAATAATTTTCTCTGGAGTCTGGCTCTGTGATTTTTTTTTACCTCCTCCTGCAGCACAGGGCGTGGTTTGGCCACTGCACTTATCTGAATGCATTTCTTCACTTTCCTGTAGCTGCAGAGGTCTCAGACACAAGCAGCACCCCAGGCTAGCCAGTTCAGGCAGAGATTAGTCACAGAAGGATTAATTAGACTTGATATAGAGCCATCCGAGTAAAACTTAAGGACTAACACCACATAGGCGAGACAAGTTGATCCATGAGTTGCTTGGTGGTTTGCAGAAGCCAGAAGAAATTAATTAGATAAAGCCCTCCAATTAACAGGTAATACAAACAAAAAATTAAACAGATGTCTGCAAAATGGACACGGGCTTAGTTCATATTTTAAGCTGTATGTTCTCCAGTTTCTGACTCAGCCTTTCAAAAACCAGACAATACGTCTTTTCTGGGGACAGCAGGTTTACCACTGTGCTGAGAGCAGCTCTGCCTCTGCATTTTCAGAAACATCAGCACAGTGCAGAGGCAGCAACGGGGATTGTTTCATCTGACTTGTCAGCCAGCACACAGCAGCAACTGTGACACGCCGGCAGTACTGTCAGAGCTCCTTCCCAAAGGGAAACAGAACAGAACTCTGCTCTGAAAGCAAAGCTCCTTCCTGAACTGGATGTGAAGCATCACTGTTCCGTCACTACAAAAGAATACTACAAAATCTTTCAGAGCTCAGACTTCTTTGGACCTAATTTTATATCCCCTAGGTAGAAATCTGCTCCCTCACAACACTTTGCAAATTTCCACTCACTCAGAGCAAAGACCTTTCCTTAACAAGGAGTCCTTTCCCTCTCACAGCACATTATCATCAGGTGTATCAGATAAGCAAGTCCATCAGGGTAACACCTGGGCTGGCAACTTTCGAGGCGGTCCAGCAAGACGCGGCGTGAGCTCCACCTACTGCACCCTCACACATCGGTGGTATTTCCCACCACACCGGTGGCATCCAGCACCTTCTACCTTCATGCTAAACCTAACCTGTGAAATCCAACGAGAAAGTGATTCAAAATGCAACAGGGGGAATTATGCTTGGCTTCCCTGGGGAGGTGCTTTTGCTCCGTGCAGCTTATCGCATTAGCGCTTGTTTACAAATACATATGCCAAACATGTCTAGAAGCCAGTAATGCTACAGGGTTGTGGGTTTTTTTTCTCTGTTCTCAGCAGAACAAGTCCAGACATGACCTTGCTGGAAACACTGTGCTGCTCCAAACGACCTTTCAAACGAAATACAAAGTTACAGGATTTACCTCTTGGGATCCTTAGGTCCCTTTATTATCTAAAGCAGGCAAGTCCCAAACATTTTTAAAAGCACAATTCCCCATGAGAGAGCATAGAAAAGCTGCTGCCCCTACTCCCAGACTTTAAAAAGGTGAGAGCTACCAACCAGTTCTCTAGGTCAAGTGTCCCTGGTTTCAAACCCTTTCCATGAGACAACACAGATTTACCAGCAGAATTGTAGCAGCTTCCATTTTCCACATAAGCAAAAGGAACAGGAAAGCAAATTCCTCTTTAAGACCAAATTTTGCAGATATTAAATACACTATAGCGCCAATGGTTTTGAAAAAGAACTTCTGTTGTGTAAAGAGAACGTCATCCCCACAATCTGAGATTCCGTAAAGAACTTCATAATGACAGAAATCAGTATATTAAAGTAGAAATTACCTTAAAACCACAATAAAAAGGCAAGACTAATGTGGAAGTGTCAAAAAGATGCCATTGAAAA